TGGGGGGCATCGCACAGCCCGTTTGGGAAATGAGGTAGAGTAGGTATGGGGGGTGGCAGGGCGGGGGAGACCGGGCGGCGTTGCCAGGAGGGGATGCGTCCAGGGCTGGTGCAGCCCCCCCGGTGTGCCGGCACCCAGCGCGGTCTGGGCTAGCGTGTCATGGTGCGTTTGTCTCCCCAGCTCTCCGTGTACAAACTCCCTGAGCCCTGTGTATCCCTGAAATAAAGGCCTTGAACGATTCCCGCTTGTCCCCAGCTCAGCCGGCATGCGGGAGAGGAGGAAAGCACCCCGTGGGACGCCGGCGTGTGGGTGAGCTCACCCCGTGGTGCCACCCTCCTCGCCATGTCTGGGCGTTGCGCCGAGCCAGCGTGGTGGGTACATCGGCACGGGGACAGGATGCGGCACAGGGATGGGACACAGCACTGCGCTGCCTGCCCCTTTGGCCATGGTGGGGAGAGACCCGCCGGTGGTACCCTCATCCCCACAGATGGTTGAGACCCACTTGAAGCAGCAGCATTTTATTGCCACGGGGGTTTCCATGGGTGAGAGAGTGCTGCAGTCGCTCCTGTTGGGCATTTCCCAGCCCCTGGGCCACTGGGAGTGGGGCATGTTGCTTCTTGGAGAGCATCATCCATCCCAACACTTGTCCACCAGGCAGGAAAAGTAATGGCATCATCCATGGCGAGGGAGGGGGTCCCAGCACCCGAGGGTGCCCAGGCATGACAGGCAGGAGTGTCCCCTGGTGATGGTTTTCCACCACAGAGAGAGCTGCCAAAGGAGCCAGCTCCTGTCTTTCCCACCGAGACCTGGGCTTTGGTCCCGTCATAAAGCCCAGGCTCCTCTGGCCGTGATCTGCGTCCATGCGGCCCCGCGGGGCAGGGGGACGCTGCCTTTGCTGGCCTGTGGGCCCACTCAGATGTCATCCTCTGTCACCAGGCAGTAGAAGTCTGTGCGGGCGCCATAGTTGCGCGAACCCAGGTCTGAGATGTCGAGCTCAGTTCTCTGGCCGTCCCTCAGCTGTGTGTCATCCATCGCGCCAGCAGCCAAAGCCACGGGAGTGCCAGGGCCAGCGATGCGGGGAGGCTTGGGGCTTCCAAAAATGCATCCTCGGAGGCCTGGAAGGAGTGGGGAGACGGGTTTTTGGCAGTGGGGAAGGGGTTAAACCCAGCCCGCTTGCCACGGGAGGGTGAAGCAAAGCCCAAAGGTGACCTCCAGTGCACATCTGTTCCCCCCAGGAGAAGAAGCAGAGGACAAGGACCTGTACCGAGGTCCCCATCCGGGTGGAGGTCTCCACCGCTGTCCAGGTAGCTGCTGTGCAGGATCAGCATGGGGTCTTTGTCCTCCTGCAGCTGGGTCTGCGGGTCACCCATGGTCCCCTGGAAGGACACTTTGCGGGGCAGGGCCAGGCACAGCTCCTTCCAGAAGTCCGATGATGGGGTCTGCATGGGTCAGGGAGGAGATGAGCCACGTCAGGACCACCACAAAGCCAAGCCCGGCCCCGCATGGGGCTGGGGAAGGCTTTGTAGGGCTCGGCTCACTCCTCCCGGCACTGGGAGCTCAGCCAAGGCAAGGGCTGTGCTCTCGGCATGGCAGCGTGCCCGCGCGCCGGTGGAGAAACCGGCCCAACCTGCTGAAACGCTGCCGAGGGCTCCGGCTCCCAGCCTGGCCCTGAAATGGCCACAGCACCCACGGGCCAAAGCTTCGCTCTGAGAGCTGAGGCTTCACCCCGGCGCCTCGGCCAGGGGAGACCCCCGAGCCGCACGGGGCTCCCGGCTGTGCAAGTCTGGGGAGCGAGCACCCAGACCTGGGGCTGCCTCAGGTGTTTTTTTTTAAAATTGTCGCGAACCGGCTGTGCAAGTCTGGGGAGCGAGCACCCAGACCTGGGGCTGCTTCAGTTGTTTTTTTTCAAAATTGCCGCTAAAAGACGAGTGCCCTAACCTGCTTTTTAGGAGCGCTGAAGCACAGGGAGCAGCCCTGGAGCATGACAGGGAGGCTGACACAAAACGGGGCGCTGGGGGTGGAAATGGGGGTGCAGGCGGGGGGGGCTCCAGCTCAGCTCTCACCATGGATCCGGCTCGCCACACCAGCAAGGTCACCACGCTCCGGTGCTGCTTCAGCAGGCTGATGGCTGGGGGGGGGATATTCCCGGGAAGACGATGAAGATGGGTTTCTTGGAAAGCTCCAGCAGCCTCCAAAGCCCTTCCCTGCGAGACAGGCGTGTGGCAGGAGGGCAAAGGACCCGCTGGCTCCTCTCCCCCGGGAGGCAGGCAGGACCGCTCCTACCTGAAGCTGCTGTTGCACCAGTCTTGCTCCAGGTACGCGACGGAGAGGACCACGATGAGACGCCGGCACCGGCTCACGTTCATGATCAGGTCGGCTGAGGGCTCTGCAGGCAAAGGGATTTCAAGCCCCCGGGCGCTGGTGTCGCGCCTCTGCCCGACCCCACATGGGGACGGCTCCTACCTGAGTTGGGCAGGATGGTTTGCTCGTCCAGGAAGAGCTTGTAACCGTAGCGGTTCTCCAGCTGTGGCTTCATGATGAAGTGAACAAACTTTCGGTCATCCGGGGCGCTGGCGTGGGAGACGTAGGCGTCGTACAGCTTCCCATCTGGAGAGAGCCATGGGGAAAGGGGGGGTTGGAACGCCATGGGGGGTCTGTGTGCTGTGCTCCCAACCTGGGGGAGGCTTTTCCCAAAGAGAGCATCACCTCCATGCCCTTTCCCGGAGGCTCACCGTTGATCTCCAGCTCGCCATAGCGGTTCCGGTACCAGAGGAGAATGTTCAGGCGGCATCGGACATAGAGCCCGGCCAGAAGAACAAGGAGCACCAGGACCAGGAGGGCCGCCAGCACCGCAGGCACATGCCCTGCCGCCTCTGCAAGGACAGGGAAGGGCACGGTGAGCATGGCCGGTGACCCCTGGCCCGGGTTTTCTGGGTTTGGTGTAGGTTTGTGCTGTGATATGCTGCCCTGGGGAGGCAGCGATAGCCCCCACGGGGCTGCCATTCCTGCCCCATGCAAGCAGGTCCTCCCTGGAGGTGTCCCTTCTCCGTCCCCGGCGTGTCCCTACCCACTCGCCGCAGGGTGAAGGTGGCAGTGGCGTTGCTGACCCAGCAGGCAAACACCCCAAAGTCTGCATCGTGCGTGAGGTTGAGCTGCAGGACGCTGGCGAGAAGCCGCTCCGAGGCATTTTGGCCAAACCTGGGGGGGAGATAGGGCCACTGTGGGTTGAGCCATGTGGCCACCCACCACGACAGACAGACAGACGGATGGATATGTCCCAGGGAAGGCTCCTTACCAGGCGGTGTCCTGGCTGCTCTCACTGCCCAACCATTGCCCGTCTTTGGTCCAGGCGGGGATGGGCTCGCAGCGCTCGGTGGCCGCCCAGCGCACGGTGCAGTTCAGCGCTATCTGGCTCCCCAGCGCCAGCTCCAGCGTCTCGTTGGCAGCTGGGACGAGGATTTCGGGGGGCACGAGGCAAAGGGCTGGGGGCACAGCGGGAAGGGGGGTTTCAACTGGGAAAGCTACTCCAGCCCCGGGCTGGGCAGGATGCCGCTGTAGCTATCCCGACTTCCCCGGAAAAACAAGCTCCGCCGTGGGGGTCTGGCACCAAGCAGTGCTTGCGGCTGTTTTGCAACAGGCTGAGCTGGTTTTTGGGGCTGGGACAGACCCTCGCCCACCCTGCAAGGCAGCGCCGGAGCTGCGAGCAGGACCTGCAGCCATGCCCGTCAGCGAGGGGTCCTGCCCAGCTGAAAACAGGAGAAAGTTTTGATTTTGCAGCCTACCTGCCATGGTGCGCTCAGGCGATGTGCGGGAGAGCTGCCGGCATCACCAGCGGGCCACCCGCGGCAGGAGGGCCCCCGTGGCGCGGCGTCTTCCGGGGGGACAAAGTCCACCTGCCACTGCCGCAGGGCGGGCTGGGCCTGGAATAGATCAGAAAGGGCTCCGTGAGCGCTGGCTGCTCCGGGCTGGGCTGGCACAGGGAGCGTCCCGGTGGTCCCCATTGCTCCCTGCAGCGATTGGGGTTGGGGGGTGGCAGGTGCCGCTCCAGGGTAAAGCCAAAGCCATGTCCCAGCCATGTCTTAGTACCTACTGTGTCACCTGCCCTCCCCGCGCGGTGCCAATTCCCAGCCTGGCTTTCCCGACCGTGAATTTACGGGTGGGATGTGATTAATGACCAACCGGGGGCTGCAGGACGTTAAAAACGTGGCTTCGGCTCAAACCAGAGGCCAGTGAGGGGAAACGAGCCATGGTCATAGCTCAACCACAGGGCATGAAACCACGGTGAGCTGCCCCCGCGGCTGCATCTGAGGGGGCTCGGCAGGAAACCCCACGTGCTATCAACACCCTGTCTTGGCTGCAGTGCTGCTTCCAGCCTGACGTGCTCATAGAAATTGCTAATTAAACAGTGGGGCGGTTTATTTATAGCAACACGGGCTTCCTATCTCGTGAGCTCCCGCAGCGTTGAGCTAAGCCAAGTGGGCGCAGCGCTCCCCTCGCGTTAAGAGGCTCAGCGTGTCGCTGCCCCGCGCCTGTGCCCGGGGAGAGGCATAGCTGCACAACGTGCCGTGCGCGGGGGCAAAGTGGGGAGCGTGGGGATGGTGTACAGAGATGGTTGCGGCAGTGCCACCGCAACAGCCCCACGGGAAGAGGGGCACCAGGGAGGACACTCCGCACCCTGCCGGTAAATCGCGGCGGTACAAACGGGAACCGGGAGCAAACGGCGAAGCAGAGCCCAGGAGTGGGGTCGGGCTCCTCCGTCCCCAAACACCCGCAGAGTTCCTGGCACGGGTGGTGTGTCCTCTGGGGCCGATGTGGGAATAACAAGAATGTCACGTTGCGGTGATTCTGCGTGACTGTAAACATATCAGCGTAACTGTCGGGGCCAGGAGGGATAAAAATCTCTCTTGACTGCCTCTTTGCCCCAGAGCTTCATCGCTCTCGGTTGCAGCCTGGTTTTGGGTAACAGTGGGGCTGAGGCTGGGCTTGTCCCTGGAGAAACCACATCTCTGCTGCTGGTGTGAAACGGGAAGGGGGGCAGCTCTGCAGCACTGCTCTGCCGCGAACAGTGATGGAAGCACGTTGCTTCCCTTTGGCACAGCAGCCCTGGCGCCAGGCGCGGGGTGAAACTGTGGGTCAAGGTACGCTGGGGATGCTTGTGATGAATTCAGCGTGAGCAGCTGCAAAGCGATTTATACTAAAGCATTAACTGGGTTTCTCCATGGCAGGGGATGGAAGGAGAGCAGGGAATGGAGATGGGACAGCCCACCCACATTTTGCACGGGGAAAGGGACAGAAGACGCTACACCAGGGTCGCGTGGGACTCTGCCCGGTGGGGATGCTCCGGCTCTGCTTGGTCCTGCCCGGGTGGGTCACTCATAGATTTCACTGTCATTTCACCCTGACACTCGGAGATTAGGAAGCCCCAACAAGATTCAGACTGGCCAGAGAGCTCGGGGAAGCCCTAAATGCCTTCACAGCCCCGTGGAGAGGAACAGCCGGCCAGGACCCCTCTGCTCTGGGGCGAGAAATGGCGACGGATGCCCAAAGGGCAGGCGGGTGTCAGGGCTGCTGCCTGCGAGGGAGGGAGGAGCACGGGTTAACGGGCAGCAGCACGCTCCCAATTTCCTACGTCTCGGGGTTGGGGACACCCCGGTTTTGCAGCACTCCAGGCGCAGCAGAGGACCCTGTGGATGCCATGCGGTGGTAGGCGATGGTTGGGCTGTGGCATCCCCCCAGAGCACGGCCACCGGGAAAGCGAGGCGGGCAGGGCGGAACGGCGGCAGGGGAGCCGCAGGTCTGCATACACCGAGGGAGAGAGCGGGGCCGGAGAGATGGGGGAGAGCAGCAGGGCTTGAGGGGAGAGGGGGAAACCCCCGCTGACCCCAGCCGAGACAGCATCGACGCGGAAAGGGAAGCGGAGGAGAGCTGCATTTACCTTCGGAGCTTCCCCCGGTGCCCCGGCCACAGGCTTCCTGCCAGCCGCCCCCCTCCCCAGACAGCAGGGATGAAGTATTTTATGCAATGAAAATGTATAGCTACACAAAATAAAGTTCTGACTGTGCTACACTAAAGAGTTTCAGATAATACTCTTTACGACCCTTCATTTTTTCTGTATCTGAAAGCACCCAAAGTAAAACAGGCTTTAGGGGAGGGGAAAAGGAAAAAAAAAAAAAAAAAGAAGAGGAAAAAGAAGGCAACCCACCCAGCCTGCCGGTGCAGCAGCCCCGGGGAGACAGGTACACACATTGCACGAGGCTCTCGGAGCCAAGGAGGAAATCCCCTGGCTCTCCATGGCTGGAAAAGCCCACAGAGGTGTTGGGGCAAGATGAGACCCGCATCCAGCACCCACCACCACTGGTAATACTGGTAAATATGGCAGCAGCCAGGGGCTTGCACTGGAGGTTTGGGGCTGTTTGTTCAATGCAGCGCCCTGGGGAGAGGCTGGGGCAGAGCCAGCATTTTGGGGCCCCGGTTTGCTGAGCAATGGTAAACTCAATACTCTCAGGCTTCATTAGGGTGAGTTACTGATGGGGGGAGGCGAGGGGAGGCCGGGCAGCCAGCAGCAGTGCCCGCGGGTTTCTTGGGGTCTCCCGTCAGTTTCCTTCTCCACTGGGCTTATACTTACTTTTTTTGAGAATAGTTTTTGTTAGGAAGGAATGTACCTGAGGGCTGATGCCTCAGGAAGCTGATTCTGGAAGTTATGTTCGGGCAATACAGCAGAGGGGTGTATGAGAGAGTTATGAATAGTGGGATACTGTGATAAGGCAGGTGAGGAACATTCAGTGCACTACTGGGCTAGTTAGCAGAGGGGAAGGAGTTGTTTTAGCAGCACTGGAAAGATGAAGATAGAGCATTAATGAACTTGTGGATTTGATACAGAGGAGGAGGTGAAGAACAAAGATCATAGAATCATAGAATACACATTGTCGGCTCGTGTCCAGCTTTTCATCCACCAGTATCCCCAAGTTCTGTTTGGCAGGGCTGCTCTCAATCCCTTCATCCCCAGCCTGTATTGATACCAGGGGTTGCCCTGACCCAGATGCAAGGCACTGCACTTGGCCTTGTTGAACCTCATGAGGTTCACATGGGACAACTTCTCAAGCTAGTCCAGGTCCCTCTGGATGGCATCCCATCCCCGAGGAGTGTCAGCTGCACCACTCAGCTTGGTGTCACCTGCAAACTTGCTGAGGGTGCATTTGATCCCACTGTCTATGTCATTGATGAAGATATTAAACAGTACTGGCCCCAGTACAGATCCCCTGAGGGACCTCACTTGTCACCAATCTCCATCTGGACATTAAGTCACTGACCACTACTCTCTGGATGTGACCATCCAGCCAATGCCTTATCCACTGAATAATCCATCCATCAAATCTGTATCTCTCCAATTAAGAGAGAAGGATGTTGTGAAGAAATGTGTCAGAGGCCTTACAGAAATCCAAACAGGTGACGGTACAGCCGGGCTCGGTAGGGCCTGCTGACCCTGGGTGAAGTGTATATATGTGGTTTTTATATAGATGTACAAATACACACACAGGTACAGGTCACAGGTAGGTCTGTGGGCCTGTTTACATGGAGAAACATTGCGACTTGGAATCCATATTGGTTATTATGTAAAATACTGGTGCTGTTGTCCTGTTGGGGGGGGGATGAAGGGAGGCCTGCTGGGGGGCTGGGGCTCGGGAATGGCCCCTGGGCCCTCTGCCCTCCGGCGAGCAGCTGTGTGCGTGTTCAGCATGGCGGCTACTTAAGCAGCTCTGTTCAGGGGGGGCTGCTCGGTCCTCTCCGATACCACGGTCACTGCGTGTGGGCTGTGAACGCCAGCATAGACCAGTTGGCTTTGTGGGATGATAACGGATCCCCAGGAACAAGCCCAGATCCTGGGGATGGCAAGGGCGTGAGGAGGCTTGGTGGCCAATTGGGAGCTGATAAAAGCTTTCTTGTCCTTCAGAGTTATTCCTGTGGGTAGGTAAGTTAAAAGCGAGAAGGCGCGGAAGAAGTTTTGGCCACAGTGGCAAAAGGACAAAACAAGCCAGAGGGCTGGAGCACGACTCGTTTCAGCTCCCTGCGAGATAGTGGCTTTCCACGCTCTTGGGAGTGACGTTTTGAAGCTGAGTTAACCCCGGTGCCTTTCTCCACAATACTGACTCGGGGACATCACCACCAGGAGAGTTGCCTGCCATCCGGGGCTGGCCTCAGCCGCGGGGCACAGTGCCTCCAGACCTGCTGTCTCTGGGGAGTGCCTGTGGTGGCACCCTTGGGGGACGCTGACAGCGTGACGGGCTCAGCGGTGGAATGGCTGTGAGCCTGCCCTGTGCTTTGACGGAGCTGTGTCCCGCCAGGCGGGCAGGCACTGGGTTTGTCATAGCAGGACAAGGAGGTGGCCCTCCCCGGCTCTGCATCTGAATCCCCTGTCAGAATCCTTTTGAGCTGAGGCTGTCACCTTCAGACCCTGTGCCGCAGCGGGGCTTGTGACCCCGTCCTGCCACCACACCCCAGCCCAAGGTGAGCGTGCGCTCCTGAGGCACGAATGGCTCCCTGCGAACTCTCAGGTGAATGAAAATTACTGTGCAGTGTGAGCTCGCTAATAGCCAATTCTTGATGCATTTAACAGCTTGAAGCTGATTAAATTTAAGCTACTTAGAGCTGGCAGGTGACTGTTCCAAGGCCATCGATACAATATGAAACCAGAGTTCACTTCCAAGTCCCGGAAATGAGAATATTGCTACAGGATGAGGTGCCACCTAGTAAGAGACCTTTAATCGCAATTGCTGCTGCTCTTCGAGGAGGCACAGTGGGTGCTGGCTTTTTGCTCTTAAACCGGGGCTGCCCTGGCCCTTCGAGCGACCTGAAAGCGGTGTGGCCTCTTGAGACACGTGCAGCGCTCACGGCGCTTTGTACAGCGAGAACCGGTTTAGCTATGGGAAGGAGCATCACTGCATGGATTTCTGCTGTACAGCAGTATGTTCTGGCCAAGACAGGGGCTCGGACTGGTCTGGCTTTTAATTACAGAACAAGACAAATCAGCCCTGATGAAATAGTTGTTCATGACTTGTGGTGCTCATGTTTGCTTATCTGAGTTTGCGGGGTGGCTGTCACACCTGTTACACGAGCACACACGTGTTCACGCCGTGGCACCCTTGCAGCTCCCGTGTTTCATTCAGTTTCTCGCCACAACTTGCCACGAACACAGGGAGGGCCCTGCTGCCTTTTGACAGAGGAGGGGGTGAAAGAGTGGAGCCTGAGGTTAAACTTACAAACCTGTTAAAAGTTTCTAGTTCTTATAAAGAAAAAAAAGACTAAAGCTTTGAAACGCTTTAGTGGATTTGTCCTTGGAGTTACAGGGACCATGAGAAAGCTGGAAACCGAGCTGTGGTCACCTGTCCCATGCTACTGCCTTCCTCATTAACTGAAATGAGGAAAAATTAAGAGAAAAGCTTTTTCCCCATACATTTGCAAACTGAGCTCAGCGAGGCTGCATGGGCCTGACGTAAGGTGTGTGGGGAATTTTGGGGCATTGAAGAGCTGTTTCTGCAGTCTCGACGCTGAGTGAAGAGTCACGTGTTTGAGGGCACGTTATCATTCCTGGGCATGGGTGAACAAAGACTTTGTTCCTTGAGCATGAATAACTCCGCTTCGAGTCAGTGAACAAATCACTAAAGGTAGACCCAGCAGAGGGCAAAGCTAAGAGGTCGGGAACGCGCGTATGTTAGAAGTGTGGCAGCGCTGGCTGTGACACCAGTCGTGCCATGGGATGTGAGCCCTGCTCCCCTTCTGCCTGCGGCCGTAGGAGAAGGGGGCGGCCCCAGCCAGCCCTGCAGGGCCCCAAGGGAAGAGGTGGAGAAATATCGGGCTGGTGGGGTTGGAGTTTAGGCGAGCAGGTCGTGTTTTGGAGTGAGAGATAACCCTTGCTAGCCCTATCGCTTGGGATTTTCTGTGTAGCTCAGTATTTCTGTTACCCCCGCACATTTAACAAGTTGTTTTCCCACTGTGCATGGTCGAAGTGCCAACTTCTTTTATCACCAGCCATCCCCGCGCTCAGCCCTGGCTCCGGGCTACGCACAGATGCTTCAGCTCCAGCCTTTTCTGATTATCCACATTAAGACAAAAAAGGGTTTAGGGGGGACGATTTCTTTGGGCGATGTGGATGGCAGAGGCGGAGGCAGGAATGACACCAGCGTGAGTACAGTGACTCACGGCAGCTGAAATTTGGCTGCTTGTGTCTGCGCGGGTGTTGGGTTTATTTACCATTTTGGTCATGGTAGTTGAGCCAGGCGCAACTGTCGGGTGTGCTTAGGGCAGACGCAGAGCCCGGGGCAAAACACAGTCAGGCTAACAACTGCATTTTCCCAGCGTCCGTGAAAACAGCAGGTTGGAGCTGCAGCCACGCGGTAGTTGTGCCGAGAGGAGGATTGTGCTGGCTGTGGTGGAAGAGGAAGGACTCAAGTTTCTCAGCAGTGCAAGAGCCAGGAGGTCACTGAAGGCAGAGGAAAAAGGGGGCCAAAGTGCAAAAAAAAGAGCTGGAAAGGGAAGCTGGGAGGAGGTAAGTGGCTTTTCCTGTGGTGCCGAGTTGCACGTTAAGGCCACGATTGACGAGGAAGCCGGGTCGTCTCCTGCAGAGCAGCCTCGCGCTCGCCCGTCGGCCGCGGGGTGCTGCACCGCGGTTTGTCCCTGCTGCCAGAGCTCTTCCCCAGCTACTCAGCGTGCCAGGAAGGCGCCATCCCCGGCTCTGCCGCAGCTCCCTTCTTCCTCGTGGCCGTGCAAGTCAGAAAGCATCCTGCTCCTGCGAAGCCACCGTCACGTTGTCACTTCCCAGTTCAAGTCCAAGCTGGGTCACAACTGGGACACGTTGCCCGTCTCCGCGGGTGGTGCCGCGGTGGTTCCTCCCACGCCCACGGCACTGCCAGGCTGGGGAGGGGGGGCTCGAGTCCGTGTGTCTCATTCTCCCCCGTGAGCGGCGGCTACACCTCGGTGGAGTACTCCATCATGCTGGGGGAGAAAGGAGAGGGGCGTTGTGGAAGGGAACTGTCCGAATTGGGAGGCAACGGGGAGGTGTGGGAAAATATTCCGAGTGGGAACAGGGCCTTTTGCCGAAAATAAATGGAGAAAGAATGACACGCTGTTTGTGGAAATTCCCTGTTTGTGGGAAATCCCTCCGTCACGGGGAAGGTGGAGCCTGAAAGCTGAACGGTGGCAGCGCGGTGCTTCCTGAGCCCCGCTCGCCTCTGCTCTCGCCGGGGTTTCGGGGTGGCAGCTGGGACAAGGTGGCGGTGCAGAGGGACAGGCTGAGCCCTCCTCCGAAGCGGGGCTCAGTCCGTGAAGGACGGCAGCACCAGGGTGGCCCAGCCTACGGCTCTCAGCTACGTTGGTTCTGTTTCCAGCTGAAATACTTAATATTTTTTTTTAAACAAAGTTTAAATGGAAAGTTTGGGCAACATTGGTCTTTGTTTTCACTTGGAGCTTTCCTTTTTCTGAAGGAAAAGCCAAAGCCAAGCAGACCCTTCCTCTGGTGAGCACTAATGCTGGATTGGCTCAGGTGGGACTCGTTTCACTGGCCCTGAGTGCCTACCAGCCGGGTGCCCGGGCTACTGAGCGAGGCCACAGGCACAGAGGGAGATGGATCCTCGTTTGTGGGGAATGCGGCTCATCTTAAAAAGAACGTTTTCTGCTGTAGGTGCCAGGTAGCAGGGGCTGGGCTGAAAGCTGGGGGAGAAGCTACCCTGCAAAGGTGGTGGAGGAGCTGCCCCGAGGGCAGGAGCTCGCAGTGCCACCTTCTCCACGCCAGTGGTGGCCAGTGGTCACCTGGTCATGGGGCTCTGGAGTGGAGGGGTCCTGCAGCGGGGCAGGTCTCCTGCTGGGGGCTGTGCCGCCTGTGAGCACAGCAGCCCCTGGCACCTCCGGGGCATCACCCACCTCAGTTCTTTACGAAGGTTGCTGTGTTTTCTGTCCCGAAACTGATTCTTAACTGACTTGGGGACATCAGGGACGTACCAGGCTGCGATCAGTTTGACGCACAGAGCCACGTGCTGCAGAAAGCGAAGGGAACCGCCACGGGCAGTGAGGACCTCCCCGGGCCGGTTCACGTGGCCCCGTGCCACC